AAATGCTTCATTCATCTCGGAGAACAACGAAGGCAAACTGCGGTGCGTGCTCAAGGAAGCATGAAACCAACTGATGAACTAAAAGCAGGTAACCTCCTCACTAGAATGGCCAAGAAAGGTTCCGTCGTTTTAAAGCCGACATTACCATTTCAGCTCTTGACTATTGACACAACCAGTAGCAGATTTAATCCCCTACACATGGTGTTGGTGGTCAAGATTATGGAACTGCATACCAAGACGGAAATAGACTTACTGTTCACATTTAGTCTTTAAAACTGACATCAAATAACGGGTCTTATACGAGAATGAGGCTCTTTCGGTTTCACATCTAACACGCTAAGACAAACATACTCATTGGAGATTGAAGAGTCACCGGTTCTTCTTTCACTGGCTGCGGTGGGCCAAGAGAGGACAGGTGGAAGGCCGTTCCAATGCCTTAACAACTCGTCGTAGGCGCGTTCCAGCGCACCACACAGAAACTCGTGTGCCGCAGGCACCGATGCTGCAGCTGGCGTGGTAGACACGGCTGTAGCCGGCCGCACCGCCTTTTCCTGCGGGCCACCCAGAGTCAGCGCAGCCAGCGTCTCTTGCGTCTCGCGCAGATTCTGATTCACCTGCGTGCCTGATAAGAAGAGGTGTCAAGTCAAGACAATGTTTCCAGTTTATCTAACCAAAGAACCAAGTCGTCAAGTGTCCGTAAGTACAAAGGAAATTTCTTTTTCATTACAGTTCTCTACTGACCCTTGAATGTAGCGTTAGCTTGGTAGTTCAAGGTCTCGGCCATGAAAAAGTCATCATAGAACAGTCCGGCGCACTGATTAGGAGTGAAGAGGTGTCTCAGTGCTGGCTCTTGGAACCGTCGAATGCTGGTGAATGACTGGGATGTGGGGAAATTTGCCCCCATTGGCTTAACTTCAGGAGTTCTATATGATAATCAGGCGTACTGATGGACTAGGAAATAATGCCCACAACAGCTGTTGAAAATAAATTTTTCACTTCTCAAAAACGCTGTCTCTTAACAACCATGACTAAGGGTTAATATTTCATGGGTAGTGAATAGTAAATAACGAATGTCATAATCTGTGGTGACTCACTAATGAAAGAATCATCGAAATTACGCCAATATCAACCACGTCACCCACAAATTTGACAAAGTATAAGCAATTTAAGAGCCAGGAGACCAGTTCTATGCTATAAGGTCTTTAATTCCTTGAACTCTTCAATACGGGCGATAGATACATGGATGTCAACGGGTCTTTATTTCCGTGAAGAGCGTTTCATAGAAAACAAGGTAAGTGGAGATTAAACATAGAAGTGCGATAGGCAATAAGCCAATAATTTCGGATCCAACAGGGTAGAGGGAAATAAATTCCTGGGAAGCCCTATCGGCACATGCTCTTAAGCGTACTAATCGTGTGCGTAATAGTCCGATATCATAAAATCCCCAACAGATCAAGGCAAAAACTGAAAAGGTTTGTAGCCCATCCGCCACTCGCCGTAAAGACCTGTGTGTTGTGAAGGCGGAAAAATACACCGGCGGTTCGCCTTAAGGATAAATTACGTGTTTCAACACTACCACCCATGTACTCGCTCATCTCAAAAGGCGGATGAAAAGAACGAAGGAGGAAATACTTGCTATGAAAGAAGGCTTGCAGGCGAGCATCAAACACTCAACAGAGATTAACATTGAGGTGTGGTCAAATAGTTGAGAGAGCGCCTACAATGACGTTTTTTACGACCTAGGCAAACGTGTAAGACATTTATAGGTAAAAATGAAAGTGAAAAACCAATGGAAGCATAAAAAGCGATCAAGCAGTCAGCCTCTCTGTCGAGCCACAGTCTTAACCAAGTTAGATGACGCGGTAAAAAGCTGGAGGAGTATGGTAAACTACTACCAACACTCCGCATGACCATGGCCTTAGTATTAATGGTGCCGCAACGAAGTACATTATGTAAATTTATAGGACCCTTGAGAGTGGCGTTTACGTCATTCATACTGTGAAACGTTCTGTTTCAACAACAAAGCTACTTCCATAATCAAACGTCTTATCACCTCGTCTTTAGAGGTGAATTGGCAACCAAATAGGCTTCTTCGTTATGCGATCAACTGAAATAACAGAGGCCCATAGTGCAAAGCTGTTGTCTCTGAATTTGCTGCTATACCATGGAAAGCCCAGAAAAGAAGTGAAGGATGAAGGTTGCCAAAAGTAAGGAATAACCCGAACAGATAGGAAAGAATGAGATCCAAAAAACTGAAAGAAGCCAGAACTACGCTCCATAGAATGTCTTTGAACAAATATCCCTCCTAAAGTGATTGAAAATTTATGTGAACACGGCATAAAACAGTAGCAGTAGTGTTTAGGTATATCCGAATTGGTGATAATCTTATTGCGGCGAAGACTTCTTGGCATTTATTTACTTGGAATGGGCAACCAGCGTTTCTGGGAGTGCTATAGTGGCTTTATCATGAAAAATAACGACAAAGTTCCTGACCTCAGCTTTCCTTTAGTCGGAAATTTCGAATCCATCCAGTAGTGTAAAGCAAAAAATCGTACAAAGGGCAGTAAAACGCACATACAACACCGATGTTACCATCTTGGTGCCATAAAAAGTGTCTTACTGAGATGGCGATGGAACAAGGAGGTAGTGAGGAGACTGAGTTGCGATGGAGTGCCACCACCAACCGATTGAGAGCAAAGGGAGGTGAGGGAGGAGACTATAGAGGCCGCCGTCTCTTGCAAATCAGACAGTGCGGTAGAAGCAGCAGTAGTGGTCGCCGCAGGAGCAGGTGGTGGGGCGGACAGAGATGCGGGATTGAAAACAGACAAATGCTTCGGCACTGAGGTATTCTGAGAAGGAAAGCGATGGGAGTAAATTAAGCTATTAACAATCCTTTGACCTTCTACTCCTAGCTACAGCCTGCTGGCCAGTGGGAATCAGCGGTTTGGGATTTTAACGTACCTGCTGAGGCTAACAGACCTGTTCCATAGAAAAGAAAGGTCGGCATTCATCACCGTAAGATCTCTTGCTATAGATGGTAATTTCCGCTAGCCTATGTTAGAATTCAATTACAAAGAAGTCACCTAGTGACCCTCCAGCCCCAAGCGGGGACCCTAATTGACTTTGGTCTTCTGGTGATGTCAAGATGAACCCATGATTCCTTTAAGAGAATTAACTTTCTGAAGGAGGGAGAAGCACATAGATTTGACTCCATCTCTCTCCCTCGCCCCATTAAAATCGAGTATGCCTGTTGATCTTAGTCGACTTGGAGAAGCATTACCGTCCTAATTAGGGAAGTAAACACACCATGAATCCGTAGTAAAGGCGTTATTTGAGCAAAGAATGAATGTTTCACTTCTTGTCATCCCTCCACATCGTTCATCTCACTTGCTTTCAAAGAAAGGCTGTACTTTTAAGAGTTGGCCTTTAAGTCGAGAAAAAAAACACATTTACAGCTAGGAAAAGCATAAAACACAGTCAGCTTCACTTTTATTTTAAAGCACACTTTGCCACACTAACTACGAAAGAAGAGGTAATGTTGATGCAAGATTTTGTTGAATGGACCAGAAACGAAAAAAAAAAAAATGGAACCACTGAGGCCAAATTACAACAAAAGGTATCGTTAAAAACCCCCCTCCTAGAGCCTTTCAGACATTAAATTATGACGCATGCAATAAAGCTACACGACAGTCTTGATCCTCAGGGTTTCATACTGGATTTACAAAAAATAAAAATACAAAGTCCGTGAATTTCCACGGAACCAGACCATTGACCCTCATCTCCCTCCCTCCCCACTCCATTGCATCAAAGAGATTCGGTTCTCTTGAAAGATAGCCTATACGGAAGGAGTAAGAACCACTCTTTTCCACCACTGCGCCTATCACTACTTCTGTGAAAAAAAATGGGCCCTGGATTAGACCATTCCTCCTTACTTGTGACCCACTACCTGTAATGTCCAGTGATCTCCGAAAAGCTTAGTTTTCGAATTGTTGGGAAGAGCTAAACCGCTGAATAACGACATCCGATTCGGTTCAACAAAAATAAGCCCCAAGGGCAGTGTGTCAAGGTGGGGCTGACAGAGCCTGGTTAAATTTGTGTTACCGCCTGGAAGCACCGAGAGCAACCCTCGACAGAAAGCACGTCCAGCTAGACGTTGATAGAAGCCCAACACTTGAATCATAAAACTGGTGAGATTTAGCCTGTCTTTAACGGAAAATGGAAAGGAACTTGTTTTCGTCAACATTGGTTCGTCCTGTAATAGACAATAAGGTTTATTTACAGACATGAAATGCCAGGTTCGTAAAGGCGGCTTCTGAAGGTTCCTATTTACGGTGGGAAAAAACATTACCGCCTGCTTTAGACGCACCAACATTCCGACAGAGCAAAAGTACAGGATCCCTTCAGTAAGTGAATAAGTGTTGGACACAGTTTTTGGACGACATATTGGGGCTGAAAAATTACTCTTGTCAGTCGGTAGAAATGGCAGATTCCCCATTAGTAGGGCGACCATAAAGCTGACCATTTTTTTGTCAACATCCATCGCAGAATGCTATATAAGCCTTTGATTAACTTTCGGTTCAATTCGCAAAACGCCCCCGCAGCCTAAATAGGTTACTGCTAAAATTAATGCTTGTTCACCAAACCGAAATCGAAGCGGATCTAAGCAAAAGCGACAAAAACGTGAAAATTTGCTTAGCCAATCTAAAGCCACAATCTTTTCGAACTCTCAGCCTTAGTAATTCAAGGAGAGAACAATAATTTCCACAGTTGACCGAACCACCGACCACTGGAGCCTTTTAGAAAGTGAAGATGTTGACTCCTGTTGGTTGATGGATTGGTAAGGAAATGGGACCGGCAAGATGGACTGAGGTTATGGTCACTGATTCACTTTAGCAGCATGAAGTACGGAAGGAGGATGCACTGCGCAAAACCGCTTAGTCACAGTTCTTTTTAGGACCTACAGTAAATAGCAAGCCCAATTTGGAGGAATTATGGCAATGACAACAAATTCAGCACCCAAAGACAAGCTAAACACCACAAAATATTGCTCTACGGCCAATAACACTCATTTCTGTTTTGAAATACAGACGTGCATATACGCTGAGATGCACTTTCAGAGGTGATTCCACACATACCTACATATTCTGTGGCAAATAGCAAATACAATGACTCAACTTTGCTTTATTTAGTGCCATTTAACCTGTCGGCGAAGCATGTTAAGCAGATTTAGTCCAACGTTTACACTAAATAATATCAAGTCAGACGGACTTATCCCTCGCTTTCTAATCCTTCCAAATAATAGACCTCTTGAGGAGTGGAAAGACTTCAAGGATGCAACCTCCGTTATTCCAGCTCTCAAAAACTGGCATCGTATAGCCAAATTCAATTGAAGAATCTCTAGTAGCAACAGCACGAAGTGAGTCAAGGCTTGCCGCAAACAATTCCCTGCATTCTCCAATTGCGGTTGCTTGTCACTGAAAAGAGGCTGTCAAGCTGGCTGAACTTTACAATGCTTCTTTGAAAAGTAAATGGGAGGTCAAATAGACACAAGACAGTAAATCAAGAGTGCTGATTTTCGCTGCCAATCACTGCTACTAACCGGAATACCTTTAATCAACACGTGAATGACAACCCAAGTCTCGCCCCCATGCCAGGTGGATCATGTCATAAGGAAACTGGTATTCCACAATCACCATGGGCAAGGAACGCAGTTCAGGTGTACGTGGCGCAGTAGGACAGTAGTGGCACATTCACTTACCCGAAGCGCCTCAAATTGTTGCATAAGAAGCGATATATCACCAACAGAAGTCCCGCTACCACCAACCGTCACCTTTCTTTGGTGAGGACAGTCGGTAGTCAGGCGTCGTAGTGAGTCACTTGATGAGACAGTAGCAGCAGCAGTAGTCAAATCAAGCGGCATCTCCACTCCTGTGGCCGTTAAAGTGTTTGAACCTGTCAAACTTTTGGATAAATCGTCTGAGCACATATGCGCCATCTGCGGGTTGTAACTGGATTGCCGCGTCATAAATGTCCCAAAACCACTGCCTAAAAACAATGAGCATAAGAGTAATGAGATCTGGACTCTGTTTTGAAGCAAATTTGCGGTTGAAGATCGCCTACTAAGAGAAGACTGTTGATAGTGGGCAGGTGGTTTACCCTCGCGCCAAATGCTATTACGCGTAGTAAGACCGACTTCTTCAAAAGTGCGCGGGGCAACAGAGAGCGAGGAAGCGGTGGTTGGCGGCCTAACGGGTGAATCTAGCGACAGAGTTGTAGAGCGATGATAGGCGGCGCGTTTGCGCGGCAACGAGGATGGAGAAGATGGACGCGGAGCGGAAGCCTCAGTATGTGACAGCGGTGGCGGCGGAGGTGGAGAGGGTGAAGAAGTGGTGCGATCGGAATCGAAGGAGCGGGACAAATGCCGCAGACCGACACGTGATTGAGGTGAGGCTGAAGAGGCAGCAAGAGCAGTGGAAACGTCCATGCTAGCTCCACCTCCCCCCGCACCCCATGAAGCCTCCACACTCATTACGCGTCGACTCAGAAGGTGTTCCTTTAAACGTTGACGGACCTGCTGAGAGCTTATCTTTTTGGGAGAACCATTGGAAAGGAGGTGGGATGGAGACGTGGTAATTGCAGCGTAGGAGGAATTCGCCCTTTGCAGACGTATAGATGTAGCCGCGGTGGTACTCTCCAGGGTCGCTCTTGGGCTTTGCTGCAATCCATGGTCCGTCTCATCTATTGACTAGAAAGACATTTAATCGAGTGATTGAAGGACTCAATCAAGCTGCATAGGGTATCCACCCAGGAATTCTGATGGTATTGTGCACTCGGGACAACATCGCTTACAAGTACATTGACTATACACAGAGTGAGATGAGCATAACCTGAACTATGAAGACACATGTTAGCATTCTGCGCCAAGACCAATAAACCCAGACCAAATGTGAACTATGGAAAATCACTGTAGGAGGTCTTCAAGCGCTATTTACATTCGTGTACTGACTTATGAACCTGATCAAAAGAATTTAAGCCCCCGACCTACAGGAAGGTAAAGCGTAAACAGAGTGCCAAATCTTATGCAAAGGCCAAAAGTTACAAAGTTACTCTGGGCAGGTTTTGGATTTAGATAAATTCCCTTACATATCGTGGTAGACACAAGAAATTGGTGAACCATGGAACAGCGACTGACAGTAAAAAAATAATAACTTCCCTTGCTTTCCTGTCGAGGAAGGAAATCATTTCACCACCCTTGACCCCATCTCATGGTCTGTGCAAATCGATTCAAATACCATTGTTATGGAAGAAGAGCGACAGTGAAAGGGAGGAAAGAGAAGCGTGACAGCTAAAATACTCAGTGGTTTTTCTAGTCTCCCAAAAACAAGTTTTTTTTCACCTGACATCTTTATAAGATTGGCTTATGACAATTAGAAGGATGACTCCACATGATCATATGCATCGCTGAAGCACTAAAATGTATTTCCAAATTCTCGTCTAATCATCTCAACTGAGGGTGTAATGAGCGTGTGTGCGCTAAACATAGACCACGAAGAGAGTGAATAATTGGGGCCTAGCAATTTGCAACACAAGCGTGGGCACGAGAACGTGTGCGCGCATGTGTATTGCGTGTGACACTAGGGGTTGGCGCACACTACACTTCAAAAATTGTCTTTTGCTTCAGTCGATCAGATAGTTTAAGAAGTCTCTTTCACCTCCATTTTAACACATCTATATGGATTGAGTACATGGAATTTCTGCAATGCATTCGTGAGAGACCGTCCCGAGCAAGACACAAATCACCAAACTCAGATTGAGGAGTAAAGGAGCGTCGGTGCTCCGGCGGTTAGATTTAGTGTACTGGCTCCAATTCAACATGAGCACAATCATAACTCCCCAAAAAGGCTCCATATTAGCTTTACTACAGCTTACAGGACTCCCCATGGAATCCGAATATTGCATGTGGAGAACCGTGTTGTAACCTGGACTAGCAACTCAATGCTAAACAGGGCAGTTTGAAAAGCCGTTGCCAACTAATTGCTCCATCTTTCAGCGATTCAGCAAATGCTTTGCTCAAAAAAGGCTCGTCTGTCATCCAGTAGCCGAGGAAGACTTGAACAATGAAGTGGAGCTGTTGAAAGGTTTGAAAATTGTAACCGCAGTACTTGACGCAGATGAATGGTTTACGAATAAGACCAGAATTCGTAGCCCTTTTTATCCAAGACTCACCTGCTCATCCATAAGACAACTAATTCTAACATGGTGCACTGCGATTTGTAGCTTACAACTTCAGTTTTCCAGCTAACCGTTACCTCTCACATGGAAGCAAAACAGGACATCAACAACGTAGTTGATTCGTTTTTGGAGGAGGGTGGGGGAAGGGACTAAACACCTAGAAATCAAAATGAATGTCCTATTCCGTATGGAACCTCATTCCCCCACAATTAAGCAAAAGAACGCTCTTGAGGCGAAAACAATGATACTTCTCTGCAGCTGTGAGTCCAAGACCGAGGATTCAAAAATTCCTCACTTCATGCTCAATATGAAAAGGTGTTGCCAAGACAAACGCATGGGGGAAATGCTATGTTCCCACTCGAAAATTAGCAAATCCCCTTTTAAAGAACCGAAAAAGAAGTGTAAGTGAAGGCGCTAAGAATACTAAAGCCTTAGACATCGGGCACCACTATCCTCGACCGTCATTAGTGGCTAGAATACTTTGAAGACAAAGCCACTACATAGACCCTGGAACTGTAGTTTTACCAACTTTGTCAGACGCCTAACAAACACCGCCTATGATTGTGGTGACTCGAGAAGTCTTACGCGGGAGCATAGCACTCAATATTCCAAATAAAGGGAGAAATCAATGACCATGGTGAAGACACATCGAGGTACCAATCACTCCATAGTTAACGCTAATAATAAGGTGTGACAGCAACCCATCATGACAACTACACTCTGATCTGATTCATTGTATCACCCTGCCAAAAGGTTGGCCTTCATGAATGCAGTTGGCATTTACAGCAAAGGAGGCCCGTGTTTCCGAAAATAGTGATGCTACAAAAGTGGACAGACACTAGTGGGTGCAAGACTCAGTGGAATAGCCTACCTCTTGGACTCGGTATGTGGGACATGTGTACACGGACATACCCATACATGACCGAGATAAAAAGTCGGCGCCTTTTCGGATTATTAATTAGCCTACCGCGTGTGAATATGTGGCTTCGGAGCCAAGGGAGTAGTAGGAATCCTAGGCGGGCTCACGCATGCACAGCGTGACGTGTCCTGATAGAACAAAGAGGTCTTATTTTCCGCACTGGAGAGAGACGAAAAGGAGGGGAATGAAGATATTGCATGGCTTGTAGAAAACAGTAAACAACCACTGAAATATTGATGTTCCATTAGTTTATCAAACTGACTGGATAAACCACCGCTCAAGAAGCAAGTGACCATCGATAACCTGAGAGCAACCCACAAGCATTCTAGTGCATCAATCTCTGCCAATACGTCATCTGGATGAAAACTACCCTTGACGAATGCGTGACATGCGAGATCCGGTAGGAAAGCCAGAGTATTACACATATGTCGTGCTGGTGCCAAACTTTCCAAGCACGGAACTCGCCACTTGGAGTTAACCATTTGCGACCCTTACCCAATGGTGCGACAGTTAGGTGATCCGACAGAGTCCTAGAAAACTAAATAAATGGAGCTTTGAAAAGCACACAACTCACATTGGTGTCAAACAGAATAAAATTATTTCAACTTGTGATACAAGAATTATTTCGAGAAAATTAACATAAATAGAGACTCCAAGGACGAAGATTCACAGTATAGCTTCTGGGAATCTGTCAAGGTAATCGAGCCACCCAAAATGCGGTCTGTTAACAATATCAAAGTAAAAAACGAATAAGATGTGAACTTGGTACTCGCCTGCATGGCCTACCATAAGAAGCTAAACGTGTAGCCAATTCACTGCTATGAGTAATGACTGTTTACGCTAAAATGTCGCAGTTCTTTCAACTACCATGTCGGGATACCATACAACAAGTCGAGAATAATCCGCCATCCAAAAATAGTTGCATTTTCTAGACAAGTAGACCGTTCACATAAAGGCACAAACAGATGCTTTGAACCAGATAAATACCATGTAATTGGTTATGGGTAGTGAAAAGTTGACAAAGGTAACTTAATTTGATTTTGAGCAGCCCTCTACAATACGCGATGTATTTTGAGTGGATCCTAGCAGCCACGAACAAAAAACCACCCAAGCCATGAATTTAGCATCGGCAAAAAGTGATGTGCGTGTACGCAAAGAGCAAGATTTCTCAAACTACTGTCACAAAAAATGTACAATCCACTGATTGCTCACCAATCATCGAAAAAAGCGAAGCAATTGCGATAAATTACTGCAATATCTTAGTAAAGTAACTGAAAAAGAGCAATATTCACATATTCAAAGTTCACTAAGCACTTTATTAATAAAAAGCGAACGTGATATTTCAGAACATTATCCAAAGAGATAAGTTGTGGAAAAAAAATCCTGTTAACAATGAGACATTTCGAAGTACTATTGAATTAGCAACAGAAAAAAATCAAAAAAATTGTCAAGCTACAAGATTAATTCAAGCAAAAGGAAATGACCTAGTGTTAACAGGCGAATAAAATATCGAAACGCACCAGAGAATTGGGCGGAGAGGTATCCACTGCATCGGCAGCGCAACCGCCGACGTCAAAGGAAGCTTGTCGAGAGAGCGCAAGGCGTGCCTGCGCCAGGCGTGACCGAGCATCACCTGCAGGCCCGTACCGTTTTCTGCTTTCAGCCTTACTGCTACTGCCAGCACGAAGCGGTAATGCCGGTGGCAGGGTGATGTCATCCATATTCTGTCGCCTAAAAACACAAAATGGATATTCCCCAAAACATATGTTTGCAATATTCATCCGAAAATTGCTTAGCAGGCGATAAAATCATATGACCGTAACTGTGCTACTGAAAAGGTTGGAGAACTGGTCGCAATAAAGCTATGGGTTAAACTCGCAAAAGCCTTAGAAAGATAGTGTAGTTAGATAGCGGTTAGGTTGTTTGGTTCTCAAGAGAGCTTACAGCAGTTTTGAAGGTGATGGGCCGACATCGAAAGCACACGTTCCGTACATGTCTGACGAATTAGAAAATTCAAATGCCAATTTCCCCTGACTTGTCCGCTAACTTAGCTCAATCGAGAAAGCGGTGGATCTGATTTTAGTACATTCACGTAGCTATAGCACACAGCTTCGGATCTAGTGATTCCAGCAAAGCATTCTTAAGACACGTAAGCTATGGAGTTTGGCACTTAACGACATCAAAGTGCTGTCAAAGAATATAAATGATGTCTTTTCATAGTTTCTTAGAGCTTTAAAAAAACAGGTGGAAATAATCTGTCCTTTTCGAAATGATTATGTCAAGCAATGGAAGATTAACCAACCGAAATAAGCGATGTTGTACTGAGAATCCACCGTATCAAGACAAACAGTATAACATCCGAAAGAATATGACGTTTGCAGGTCAAGGGACAAATTTTTATGGTAGTACATTCCACACCTCGTTTTTCATTGGCTAATGTTTTGTTGAGATGTAAAATTAGGTCGTCCATGTAGAACGAAGTCGAAATAAAAACAACATTTCTCGCAATACTTCGTTTTGATTTTGAGGCGAAAAGTCGAATAGGTAACCTTTAAAGGAAACACGGTGCTACAATTAACTACTTGAATTGCGCATGATTTTAAACGTTGCTTAAAATTAACGCTGGTTTAATCAGGAAAGACATAATATGCACTTGCGTTGAGATGAGTTTAAGTCTAAAGCTAACACTTTGTCGATACAAGCTACTGGGTTTTTTGGCCATTGAATCTCACATCATTTGGCCATACCTAGCATCAATTAAAAAATTCAGACTATTGCCGCAAAGCTCCTTTACATCCTGTAATGCTTTGTTTATGTGACTATCCGACGTTTGGCGGTCACTTTCAGTACTTATTTGGCCCGTGTGCTCGCGGGTTGGCCTTCGGACCATGCTGGACCCGCTGCTTTGTCCTATTTGGATTACGTGTATCCGCCTTCACTTACTGCCTCCTTCCATCCTGTGGAAAGTCTTGGAACGCTACAAATTCCATGAGTAAAGTCAATTTGAGCATGAAAATCGTCGAATACTTGCAATCTGGGATAAAACAAATAAATTAGGGTGTGGGTTGGTTCGAGGGTCATCCTAAGCAGCCTACAATCAGATGAATATAAATGACTGCCATTCATACAAGTAGTCGAATGAATGCCGTATTGCAAGTTCTCGACCACCTTTTCTGTGGTTGCGTTTCATACGTCGAAAGAGAATCATGTGCTCTTCGGTTCCTTGTTCCCGTGGCAAGACGTCTTTACTCAGTTACACCTACCACACTAAAACCTACGGATCGCTCAAGCGACACCTTGTGATAATTGATTCAAAACGAAATGACGAAGGTAGTACAAACCCCACCTGTAGAGCTCTCTCGTCAAGACCAACGAGTACCGGAAGCACCATTTTTTTACAAAAATCTATTTCAGCTTTCTAAGAATTCTTCCCATCTTTTCACCCTCGAAACAGGCATTTCTTCTTCTCTGTAAAGTTGCATCATATCAGTAATCTTCACATCACCACTGGCAACAGATTGCGAGACGTATGTTGGTCGAACAAGATCGGAAATAGGAGTCAACGACGTAGTCTTCCACATGATCGGCTGTTTGTAACGCCGTAGCAAAGCTATCACTTGCTCCATCTCACCTCGACCACGGAATTTGCAAGAAATGATGAAACGGAGGGAAGCTGCAAGTTGTTGTGTGAACTCGCTATGCATTGACCTGGGATTCACCAGATAGATATTTCTAGATCGGAGAAAACAGAGGAGGCATTGGAACCCGGAAATGTGTACTAAACACAATTGAGAGCAAATAGCACTAAAACCTACCGATTGAGATGATGTAACGCGATGAGAGCAGCCAGAGGCTGCCGAGTGGGATTTACTACCCCAGAGCAGAGAGCGCTGGCATAAGCTCTGAGAACTCCCTCATCCTTCTCCAAAGGTTCAAATAATCCCTCATAGGTGGTGATGGGAAAAATGACCTAGGAGGTGAAAAAGTTCGGAAAAAGAAAACAACCTTACCTCCCTAGGCGAGAGTTGAAAGGCACGGAGAGTAGATTGATGCTCTCCCCAGAGAGCACGTCTATAGCTCGGCGGTAGCCCCGTGGATTGAAGGAAGAGAAGTAGAAGGTTGCCAAAAATTGGAGAGGAGTAAGAGGTGGCCGCGTAGTGCTCCAACAAGTCGGTGAACCTAGACGAAAAGCAAAGCAAAGATGGGAAAATCGAAGCCATGCTCGACCGTTCCTTAGAAAGCTTTCAAGTCTAACTAAAGAGAAACACAATTTCCACTTACAAGTTATAAAGAGAAAGTAAATCTAGCGGGAGGTATGCCTCAGGATTGCGGTCCATCTCCTCCATATCCAATTTTGGCGCCAGTAGACTGATCAACTCCGCAATAATGACACCCGAGGCGTTAAAGCACAGCGCTCCCGCGCCTTGGTAAGTTAAAATAGCACAGCACACGCGAGTTAAGTGTCCACCGGCAGAAAGCTCCCGAATCTTTGTAGAGCTACGCGGTGGTAAGCGCTGACTCAACAACCGATGGATCCAACCCAAACAAGCCGTAGCTTTCAATAAGTAGGCCTGAAAGTACGTAGATAAGGAGAGTTTAGAAACAGCAGTGTCGAGGGTTAGTGTAAAACATGCTCACAGACCTCAGGTTCGCTCGGACTGAACGCACTGGAAGGGGTTTTGTCATCATCTCCATTGATACGGTGACGGCAGCCACAAAAGTAGGACTCCAGGAGGGGCATATAGAACCAGTCGTCAGGTAGAATGAAATCACAACTGGAGCGAGTCTTGAGAGGCTTGAAAGTTATCTGAGTTTCTTTAAAAAAAGTAGGTGGCTTATTAGAATAACTTGCTACCGAAGGGGATGTTTTAGACCTGGAAAACAAATAGTCCACTTTCAATGGGTGAATATAGGATCTAAAAAATCTAGGTAGGCTCCATTTCGAGTGTAACACCTTCAACTTCCTCTCCTCTTTGAGTGACTGATGACAAAACATGCGAGAAATTGATTACCAAGGAAATGTAGGCATTCATGCAACTAACCAGATCTGGGGCCTTGAAACAACTTGAGAAAGTATTCCACATAAACACGATGAGCATGGTATGCCAAACCGAGCGCAAACGAATCATGAACTGGGGGCCATGGAGGAGAAGCATTCATAACTTCGGTAGAAAATCCCCTTTCAACACTAGAAAAGGGGAAGGAAAGGGAGTTACAAATAGTATGACATGCATATAATGCAAAAATGATAAACGCACGGAGTCAGGTCGTAAACAGGGAAGATAACCTTCTGAAGAAGGTCAATTAGCAATGTCTCTTGCCCAAAGAAGAAGTAGGGAAGGAGATGGAAGGTGGCCCACCATAGTTCCTCCGCTTTAGAGTCGCTCTAGCAAAGAGCAGTAGTTGGTAGGCAAATTGACCACCAAGATAATGAATTCGTACAATCTGCCTTATAAAGAAAACGCAACTTGGAATCCATGGAAATCTACAAGATTATTTCTAACTTATAAAAGAATGTCAAAGGATCGTCAAGATGCATGACGCCTGATGCATGCCACGGCTGACAATCTTAAACTATCTCATCTCCAGCGTCCTCAGACACAACACAAAAGTCAACCGATACCACCGATCACGTACCCATTTTGCAAGAAGATATCTTTGCATCATCGCAGATTCTAGTGCCATTATGCCATGCGGCAACGAGAGGCAACTACTACCCGATTTTTCCATCACCGGGGGCACACACAACCTAGTTAAACGACTACACCAACGACTTAGATCCACATTTCCAATAATCATTGCCGCTTCCATTAAAGGCAGAAAGCTCGGCCACATCGCCGGTGTCGGTGAGACCAAGTCGAGAGATTCCAAAACGTCGCGAGGATAAAGAGAGTGGGCGGAGGATGGCCACCACATGGCAGGAAGGGTGACCGAGGACTCGTTATTAGAGGAACAGGGCCCACGATAGAAAAGACACGTAGACATCCCCAGATCGGGAAGGCAAGGTAGAGCAGACGAGACAGTAATGGGAGACAGTAGGTCTTCATTTTCGCCTGACTCGAAGACAATATCAGGGATGGTGGGCGGATCGTCGTTGGTGTGAATCGAGCCAACGCCAGGAGCTAAAACGTCGGCGTGAGAGGTCCTCTGAGGGAATCCGGTGAGGACTGACTGGTGCCTGAAATGTTTGAAATTAATCAAGGTGGAAAGTGCGACTAGTTTCCACATGGTAATAGAAGCCTGTAGAAGTGAGTTGAGGTAATCACAAGGTCCACTTAGGACTTAATGAGTGAAATATTGGAGAAATTGACCAAAAGGCAACATTAACAATGAATGAGTATCCTTCGACCCACAGCAAAGTAATCTTGAAATACCAAGTCTCTCACGAACCTGATAAAGTGATTCAAAACCACGTTCCATGCCGGGCCCTGGAAAATGCGTCTTTGAATATCCGTCTACGAAAGGAGGAGATTACCAGTTCATAATGCGCAGCACTTTCAACTCTATTAACTCCTGAATCTCTACATAAAAAAGAATGCAAGCTCACCAATTCCTCCATACTCAAAACCTTCAAAAGGTGTACAGTGACAGTAACCAGTGGAGGTGGAGAAGCCCTCTTTTCTTCTCCTCTTTCACCTTCATCATAGCCCTGTGCGTTCACAAACAATGAGACAATATGGAGAAGGAAAATGGGTGCTTACGGTTATTGTGACTTCTTCAGAAAATTTCTTAGCCCAACTGCGAAGGCTCTCAAATTGGCTACTGGAGAGGTACCTGAAAGAAACGCATGGAGCTGTTAACATTAGAAGTGTACGAAAAATACTGCAAGACCGTGTACTGATTCGCTGGAGGTTGTGAAAGTCCATATAACCATCCACATAACTAACAAAGTAGCCTTAATGTATAGCAGTCGCTGAGAGAGTAGCAAACCTATTTAATTAAACATGCAAGGATAACGTACTGTGAAAAACGCGGCACCACGACATTGGCGAAGAACGATAACCATGCGATCTGGAGAGGGTATTCGCTCCTTTCAGCCTCCATCACCACCTGAGCAGCTGCCACAAGTCCACCAATTGCCTGTCTAAAGCGAACTAAGGGGTCACTGAAACTCAAGCTACCTGGTGAAGTCAACCGCTTTAGATGGCGGTTCCGATCCTTCCAGACACACAGATAGGCATCGAAGTGCCTCCAGTTGGAGAAGAACGCCGAATTTAGGAGGTAGAGAAGTGGGAAAGTGTAGCAGGTAGGCGAGACAGCGCTCAACAAGGCGCCAGTCATTTACCAGCATTAGCCGCAAGCTGCTACTGCGTTGAGCTAGGACGCGCATCAATTTGAGCACTCGAGGGAGGGGAACACCGTAGGCATTGGAAAGTTGGTCGTTGTGGCATTCATGTGTGTTCAAATCGCTCCAGTCCAAAGGAAGAAAGTGTTCAATGAGAGAGGCAATCAAATGTGGTGTCTTGTAAATCTAAAAAAGATAAGTGCAGAGCAGACCTTAACAAATCCGCATACTATCAGCGTAGAACATTGACGGCCTCGGCGTGTCAGAACTGTAAATGAGCCAATATTTTGTGAAAACGAAGTCGGACTTTACAAATAAGGCAGAAGCATGAAGTCTGAAGAGCAAGGGATTAAGAAAATATTCTCAAAATAGAAATATTAAAAGCTCCGAGGCAAAAGATAAGATTGGACGATTTGATGACCCCGTCTATTATTAGGAATTGAGAAAACAAGGCTTAATGACCTCAAGAGAAGGTATTTACAAACATGGAAGGAGACCAAAAAGTCCAACCTTCCAATGATTATCCACTGTTCAAATCTCAGAGGAAATTGGAACTAAGAGGTAAATCGGCAAAGAACACTTGGAAGATTGTGCAGAGATAAATCTGAATCTACACAGAGTCAAAAGCGAACATCCATCTTAAAAAATCCCAAAAGGCAACCGGGAAGTACCGTCAAAGCCAGAGCAGTAGAATGTCTAGCTGCGGTGATTAGGAGAGCAGGGAGAGTGTGCGCGACGATGTCAGGAGGTAGACGAAGACCAGGACCGGGAGAGAGCATCCAGCCGATGCGGGCTGCTAGGTTGGTCTGAGCAAACAGGCAGCCCACAGGATCCGTCGCCATGGCTTCAACATGGTCCGATTTCTCATCATTATCCGAACTTAACGCTGCCGATGTCGCCATCTCCAGGCGGAATTTGTGCGGACGCCGAATTACTGCTGACGGGAAGAGATTTACCATAGACTTTCGACATTCACTTGACCAATCGAAAGCCTCGTCTAGAAGCGCCTGTGTAAACGAAGAATATACATTACCCATCATTCCCATGCTAAGTTCGTTCACCTTACTTCGCCTCGCTCATCCACCAGCAGGTTATTCAACGCGCGAAAACACTCGCTAATGAGAGCTACAGAGACACCACCACCGTTGCCACCGACAGCAGAAGAGGCGCGAGTGGCCTCACTGACGCACCGATCCAAAGCCCAGCGAAGGAGGAAGCAGATCCCTGTAGGTCGAGTAAGAAGTAGGGAAGGAAGGAGACTGGGGGTCTGTAATAGTGCACTATGATGCCCACGACGCGAGGCAGCTAGTGCTGCGGCCAGACTCGAGAGAGCAAGGCGTCTTTGAATTGGCTGGCTGGAGGAGGCCAGGTGGAATAGTTCTCCTATTGTATAGCCACCACGCTAAATATGATACAGGAGTTGAATTAGTTGGAGTTATTGTGCCTTCAAAAATTAATCAGATAGAATCGCAGTGACAAGAAATTGTTTACTATATCTAGAAAAAGCAAAATTTTCAGCTCTTTGGCTGATCGTTGCACCTAGAAATCACAGAAAAAAGCAAGGGTTCCAAATCTAATAGGACAAACAAAACGTGGGTCAGATAAGAGACGAGACCGAACCCCTAACGTCATTAGTGCGAAATATTGCGAGAACTTTGTCCGTCTCAAAAAATTTGTACTGCTTGTCACGGTTTAAACACACCTCAGGTTCATCACCATGATGATGAAGACCCAGATGAGTAGGTACATCCGCATCAGGAGGAACCACACGACCTTCAAGATCAAATCGAGCGTTGCATCCCTTCGATGAAGTCATGTTTGTGGATCTGACCTCTTCCGTGGGTGCTTTTGCGCTGTGCGGAAGATCCTGCATCCATGCTAGTTTTTCCGGTTCAACCACATCCATGTGAGGAATCGAGGGATCCGGCTCGATGCCAAGTGAAGCCAAAATGGAGTTTGCGTTGAGTTCGGAAGACGGTTCGGTGCTTTCTGGCGAATGATGATTCGCATCCTCCCTATCCAATGGAACCCCATGCCGGGGAGCTGTTAAAGAGTGTGTATAAGAGGTTCAGTGTTTTTATCAGGCCCGAATTCAAATTTGATATAGTTACTGAAAACCCAAAAAGAGGTGAAGAGATTAGCGTCTAAAATTTTGAAAACCCCATGCGAAAGTGCAATTCATAAACAAGTGAAATTTCATTCCTACCTTTCTTGTGCATAAGAAACGATATGACTTTCGGGTCTAAAAAAAGAAATAATTATTCACGAATCAAGCACCAAGCTGGGCCAACTATTCCACTGGCAAACAATATAAAATTATATAAAAACCTGCGGATGCAATAATGGCCTCCCGTTCTCGTAATATTTCCTCCTCAGAGAGCTGCGAAAGTAAGTTTATGCTGTTTTCATGGATACGCACAATCTCATTCGCCGCAAAGCCATGCTGACGGCGGATCACACATGGTCCAGCATCAGCCAACTGCTGGAGAGGGTCCGAAACTAAAGCAACATTTTTTAGAGCATGAACTAGAAAAACCACTCGTGAAGAGGAGCATCTATAAAAGTCACATGTCGAACTTACGCTTTGGCATTTCCTTCCTAAGCTGCACTGAACTAGCATCAGGTCTAAAAGCCACGCCCTCTTTGGCAGCCAATAACTGTTTAGCAAAGAGACTTCGGCCTTTAGACCTGGTGAAGGAACTTTCCGAGCTCAATCGGCTGGCACAGTGCAGCAGACCGGCATCTGTAATGCTTTCACCCAAGGTAGGAACATAAGGTTGGCCACAGTTACTTTGAATCGGGTCATCAGAAGCAAGGTTCGTGTCGCCGAGCAAAAATTGGTGCTCCTACAGGAAAGAATGATAATGCCTACATGACACTTACGACGACTTGCGAACTAACTGGCGATTGAAAAAGAGGCGTGTTCTGTTCATCATAGGTGGGGCGTGAGGCCTGACCAGTAGACACGGCGTTTACAATGCGATTAGCAGGAGGATTTTTAAGAAATTCAGCTTGCTCCCTGAAATGGAGAGTTGAAGGGTAGGTGTGAAGTTTACCGAAGTAGGTCTTCATCAGTCTTGGCAAATCGGTTAAGCATGATGGCTGCGGAGCACTAAAAGCGTAGCGGTATTTTATAAATATCAAACATGGCGCTAAAAAGGTTAATGTGTAAGCACAAACAAGGCACTCAAAGTTAAAACCATCAACTTTGACATGGGGAAACAGAGAAAAGCTAGAAAACATGCACGGTCGACAGAATAAACAGGCAGCAGTCTAGAAACACTAATACTAGTACTAATAAAATGGAGTGTTTGACAATGCCATTCCAAAAATGAAAAAATGATTTCACAAAAATCAGAAAACACTTACGCTAATACGTAAAAGCAATCAGGCTTGTCAATGAACAGTATGGTCCACCAGACCGACTAAAACAACCTGAGCGCTGACCGGTGCAATCTAAAAACTTGCAAAGCATTCAATTAGTTAAAACAAGACGTAAGATTACCAAAACGATGTATTTATAGTTAATATACATCATAAATAATGTTTTTGCATATTTAATCAATTAAAATTGTACCATTTTCTCGCTACTTTCTTTTATAGCAAGTACATGGGGAGGCACAGATGGAATATTAACTGGTATTGAAGCGCCTTCACGAAGGAGACATAACCCTAAATCTGATAAATATGCTGCAAGCAGCAAGCAAAGTTTAGTGTGGAATTATGCTTATGCAAAAACTATAGCACTGAGACCGTCGCTTAGACCGAAGGCCGGCCCAGGCAGCATAGCCAAGATGGCCGCCAAAGTAACCATCATCCATACATGCAGACATACATTTCCTTTATCATCCATCACAATGCATTCAGTACTAAAAGTAAACATACATCGATATGACGGGCAAGCATCAGGTCTTATGTGTCTCGGCAGTTTAACTTGGCTCTGGAGTTGTACTCGGTGTAAGAAGCAGAAATCAGTGGCAAAAATATCTGGCCACTATCAACTGTGCCAACCGTAACACTGGTAATAAGGACTTATGATCAAGCACAGAAGATAACACACAAATTCGTTAATAAGGAGTTCAACGTTGTGTCCTCACTGGCATCCACATTAAGGTGCAGTTGGCGGCATTCTAAATCACTCCATTATGTAATAGCTTGCTAGTGGGATGCAAAAAATGTAAATACCAAACTCCGATGTCGCAGGGACAAAAAGTCTCTCCCGCCCAATATATACTTACTTCTGCGGCTCTCAATATCATATTTTAGGTCTTCTTATCGGTAGTAGGAGGCAGCGGGCATAAATGCCTGTCCAAAAGGCTATTTCATAGAGAAGAATCAAGATAGTCTTTTATGTAGGTAGTAAACTAAGTAAGGTACCGCAGTTGCCTTATCACTCTTAAAGGTCTGTACCCAATTAAAATACACAACAACATTTGTCTTGTAATTTGTAAAGTATAGATTTTTAAGGCTTTTACTTTTGTTGATGACCTGTTGTGATGGTGAAGTTCGGATCCAGACCTAAAATGTTTTGTTTGGAAGGCTCCCGTCCGACATCGTTTTCTGTGGTAACATTCTTCGCCCATTCAAATAAACACAGAGTGGAGCAGTTTAAAAGGAGGCATGAATAATACGATTATGCCACCGCAAAAAGTTTTAATTCCACACAAGCTCTACCCTTGAATGTGTTACCAAAAATCCGATAATGACTTTTGTGTTCCACAATTATAATGTTGAAACAAATATAATCGGCGGACCTCTGCCAATTCAGTGCTAAAGTTCTTTCAAATTCTTGGAAACACACTGCTTGTATGGCGATTGATTCGTAATTTTTGGGATAGAATTCGTGATGATCAGGCTGTACGGCTTGTGATCAGCAGCGGATAACCAAAGTTAGTCTCTACTGAAACTTTATAAAGTACGGTCAATCCTTTTTTGATAATTAAATGGGTAGTTTGATTGGCCTAACACCATTCAATTTGGTTGAAAGATTTTGCCGCCTATCTAATGCTTGTTGATAACCCAAACGGCAATATTAAGTGGCCTCAGCGTTGAAAATCAAAACAGCAACGATGTGTTCACTGCCAGTAGCTAAATTTTGTCCGTTTGTAACCTCAACTCACGCGTACTGTATACACTTGATACACTTGGGGCAATACGTTAAATGGTACTCAGCCAATCAAGAATCGAGGCAGAGGACTGATCTGTCGTCCATCGATTGGCTACAGCTGTGGCCTGCTTGTACATCATACTACTAGCTCCTAAAGGAGCATTCACCGCCTACCTCTTGATCAAGTGATTTAAGACCTGCCGGTGGAAGGATTCTATGGTATCGATTGGCTACTTGCAGCATTTTCAACAGGAGCAAATGCGTTTCACTTTATATCAAAGGCTATTTCGTAATTACTGGAAGAGTGAAAATTTGATAAAATTTAGCGCAAAATTTGGGATTTTCTAAGTACCGGTTTAAAGTTTAGCTTCGTAAACATCGAGCGAAAATTCGATGCTTAAGGATTTCAAATGAAGGTCATGCAAACCGCATATTCCCTTATTGGCTACAATGACAGGTCTTGTTATTGATCGATTTTACATTCTGCATATAATCGCATCAATAAGGAATCGATAAAATCACCTTTTCCACCATAAAATGCGCATTCAAAGGACATAAGGGATAACAAATTTTACCAAATTCTGAAACAAACGAGGCATTCGGCAATAGGCGTGTCAGTGATTGTTGCCACCATCCCTGCCACCCTACCATCATTATGCAATCGCACCTACGGTTGCTCTAAACGATCGTTGCCAAGGCAAATAGAGGCACTTGGGGGCAGGTGAGGGCGAGGAAATGTATGCGGCTGGCGGGGTCAGAGGGAAAGCTAGTGGTTGAATGTAGGTGTGAGTGTGGTTATGTGGGGCATGAATAAGGGTTCCACCAAATGCTAATACCCTTGGGCCAGATGCCCTGCCCTGCGCTCACACATACGCACGCACGCACGCAAGCATGGGACGCGTCCCCTGAATTTGCATAAGTACCGGTCCCAACACTTTCGCCATCTGTCCTCAGTTTGCCCAGCATATTTTTACGGTAATAATTATGAGTGGGATGGACAATCATGTTGCACACGTAGTCTTACCCCGACTGAGACTCTGCGACTTTGCTAATGATTGTTTGGTAATATGGCGGAGTGGTGTGTGATGCATTCATGGGAACGGTAAGATGAGCGCTCTTGCATTGATACTGGTCAGCTCACACTGCATGCCATTATTACTCAGCTCTTCCTGTGCATTTCGAACACTTGCAGAACACTTTGGAGGTAAGTAAAACCTGGTCTAAGGAGGCAATAATAATCTTGAAGTTTTGCCTGTGGTTATCAAAAGAATGGGTAAAGAAACCGCTACTGAGTACACTTTGCACTAACTGTGGCCCTGGAATGAAGAGTCACTCAGACATTTGACAGGATCATTGACTTAAAAATGCTAGTCGCCTTTACCTTGCTGTGTGGTAAATGCTTAGTGCCTAAAACCTCTTACATTCCTTCATGACTCAGGCTACAAGCAGGTGGCATGCGGTTTTCCATCACGCTCACAGTCATTCCTCACTACTAGTAACAAAGCTTCCTTCACGATTGAGGGGTAGCCTTGAACAACCTCTCAGTGAAGGCAGTGTACCAGACCGTCAGACCCCTGATCAGCAGTTCGGGAAGTGGACATCTGTTCCATTGCAGAATATGACAGCCTTCATCGACATCATCACCACCATCAGCTAGAGGAGTGTCGCCTCAGGTTACCCATACCACGGGACAGGTGTTATCCCCATCTGGTGATAAGATCGTGCGCACCCACACAGCCCTCACGCACACACGCACGCACACGTAATAGTGATTAGCATAATCAGTAAGGGAGAGCAAAGCTAGGCATTGTCCCCAGCGCTATAAGAAGCGCTGCTCCCATAGCACCGTGGTCACTAATATCACCATCAACAACAGACATGGTGCAAGCATCCACTGAGTAAGTTCGCAAATTCTTCCTCTTTTACCTTTGCTCAAGGCATTCAGAGATAGGACCGCCTACCGTTTCACCAATTCCTCTGGAAGAACTGGAGACCGCGGAAGGAGAGGATGTAGAGCCACTGGACCTGAGTCTCTCCTCTGCCTCCACAACAACCGCAAGATTGGAGGAGAGCGTCAAGAGCTCCTTCTCCTCCCCCGTATGTGGCACAGAGGAGACGCGTATTCCCCTGACCTCACCGGAGATCCCGTTTCAATTAAATGGTGAGTAACACTTTGGTGAAACAACAATAGCGAAGGGCATTTTCAAGACCCTATTCCATGCAAATTCAATTAGAGTCTAAAGCACAAGTATGGGATGGACTGTTGTTCGTGTTGGGTCAAATCGAGGATTCCATAACCTGAGTAGCCAATCAGTGAGCAGTATTTATCTTGGTAGCCGTCTTATGAATAAAAGCACCGCTATGAGGGCACTAGCACTGATCAAAGCGGCTGAGACGCAAATAAACCCACTCACAGCTACTAGAGGTCACTGAGGTGTGCTAGAAAACCGCAAAGTTAATGGATTGCACTAATGTCTGGTCTTATAGCATCATCCTCTGCAACCCTGCTGCAGCTCTACCAAATCCTAACTTGTATTCGCCTGTGGAGATCCGCTGCCATGGAACAATCATTCAAAAGTGATGTGGAATTAAATTCCCCATTCCTTTCCATCGCTTCTATGCCTTCACTTCATCTTGCTCCTACTCCTCTTCCTCCGCCTGTTCCTCCTCCTCCTCCCCCTCCTCCTCCTCCCTCCATCTCGTCCATGCAGACACGGGGCGGCGCCAACGTACACGCCCTAATTGATCCTGAGGAATTGAGAATTCCAACGTAAGAAGAGTGACATGACAGTGCTTATCTCAGAAAAAACTAAAGTCTTATCAAAGTGGCTACGCACTGTTTTCCAGGTTCGGCAAACCGCTGCGCAGGCCAATTAGAGCCCCAATCACCATGGCAAAGCCGCCACTGCGCAAGCGGAATTTGCACGGGAGCTCCACACCGACTTATCTCTGCTCCCACTGCGGACGAGGATTTACAAAAGCCTACAATCGCACAATTCATGAGAGAACGCACACCGACGAGAGGCCTTTTGAGTGCAATGTTTGTGCGCGACGATTTCGAAGGAAGGATCACTTGAGAGATCACAGGTTTGTAAGCATTGAGTCTAACGTCGAGAGGCTTCATAACTCCTTTAGGGTAGAAAGGCCAAAGGTGAACGTATAAGCAAATAGGAAGGCAATCTCAGACTCTCAAGTCAGATTTGAGGAGGTGTGAGGACTACTACATGTATGTCTGGAATGAAGGTTAATGAATTGAAATGTGAATATGACCGAGTTGATCATAAGCCCATTGATAGGTCAGGTAGAATGAGTGGAATTGGTGAGTGTTTGAGCCAACAGTTAGAATTTAAGTGGAGTGAGCCATTGTGGAACGTTTGTGCTTCGTTAGCGTAAATAGGACTTTTGGCACGAAGCGAATTGATAATTGGTTATAGGAATAATTATTACAAGGAATGCCGACCTTGTGTTGTAATCCATGGGTCAGGTAGAGGGCAAATGAATGTATGCAGCTTTAAACAGATGGAGATATTAAATAGGCGGCTGAGCAAGTAATAACAGGGAGTTTACTTTGTAGTTACACTCATCTACTGAAAAAGCCCTTCGCCTGTACCTTCTGCAACCGTGGCTTCTGCCAGGCCCGTTCGTTGGAGAACCACAAGAAAACGAACCATTCAGAGCAATCAGCAATGGATGTAGTATCAATAAATGAAAAAGAAGGATGAATGGGATAATGACATTGGACTTTTCATAATTTGGTGTTTAATCACTAATCAATTCTGGCTAATGCTGACGCAAGGCTTGCGCCACTTAAAATGCTACCAAACCGGTACCATTTACATGTACATATTTTTTCCGAATAAATGGAAGTCTAACTTACTGTTTAAGTTTGGCTTTAATCTCATGTAAATGTTGTCATATGCGATACACACTAGAGTGTTTAAGTTGACCCTTATAGGAGAACCGAATTGGAACGTGATACCGGTGCGTGAGGATCGTGGGGAGTCCCTCTCTGGGCGATATCTACTATTCGGCTCATCTGTACTCTTATCCCCGTTCTTCCTATATTAAATGCCTAATAAACCTACTGCAACTAACCCTCTCTTGAAATCCGTGGTTCACAGGCATGATGGTGGGCAGGCAGTTCCTACATTATGAGGTAGGGGGTGCACGAAAGTGACAAAGTTTTTTAAACTCGTTATTCATTAAACTGCCTCGATGAGATGCAATCACGTTGGCGACCATCCCGCCACCTTTGATTGGGACAGCCTCCAAAACACGTCAAAAACTCACCTTTGTCATTAGTTTTTAAGTAAAAATCTTTAGTCAGGTAAGAAGTTGTGAGATACTACAAACTTTCTAATGCCGAAAGGCATTGTTACAACTGTGAAATGTACCAGTCCCAAACAGAGAGATCTTCAATAAAAAAGTTTTACAAATGTTTAAAAATCGTTAAAATTTTAACAAACAGTTTGTTAGCAGGAAAATCACAATTCATGTATTAGTAAATTAAAGCTAATCTGAGAAATATATCCAGAATGCCAAGTTAACGTTTGCCAATATTTTTTCATTTATTTAGCTATCATGGAACAATTAAAATACTATCGTTGTTTTATAATTCCTACTAATTTCGCTTTATTGATCAATGTTGGGGGCAGTTCAACATACTGACCATAACACCTTAAGATTGTTTTATCCCATGAAGTATTTCTCCCACTTTCCACCGCCCCACACAATCTATTATTTCGTGTCGTTATTTGTTGGCGATCATGGGTCTCTGACGCACTTTTAGGAAGGCATCAGAGTCTGCTAATACGATTGTATTGGATTTTACATGTAATTAAGGTCCATTTGCTTGCCATACAATGTATCCAACATGGAAATTTTGAATGATCTTATCCATTCCTGAGTTATTCCATTAAGGAAGGTAATGAAGGGTCTTCGACAAACACACATTCTTGTCGACTACTTTCGCCAAGTCGCGCAACCCTTACTCTTCCTCTCCCCAAAAAATACTCCCTGGAGGCCATATAATGTTCTGCCGTCTCCATCTGTCGGTGCACCCCGCCTAATCTAGCATTTTTCACGCATGCACGCATCAAATCTGGGAGAGATCACTGCTCTCATGAAAGATGCTTCCCTCCATATCCCCGAGCATCACTATGACGTCGCAGATGTAACTCTTCATTGCATTTTGGAACGTCTAACGGAGGCCTCACGAACTAGTCAGCTGAGTCCCGTCGAATATGCCAGCCGTCGAGCCTGTATCCTTAGTGAACTAGCTAACAGTTCGCTGCAAAGTACTCACTCCGATGCTGAGAAAATTTTTGTTGAGACCATCTCCCCCTCCCTCGCCGTTGGGATGAATCCCAAAGATGCCTGTATTGTGGAACTGTTTTGTATTGTGGAACTATCTGATTTTAACCGAGAAGCAGATCAGTGACGTCACATTACTAGGTCTCGTTTCCATTGCTTACACAGAGTAGGCGCATTATCATGCTTTGAGACTCCTACTCACTAAATTTCCTTGTTCATAGAGATCATATAAAGGTTAACGGCAAACTTCTCGTCGCGCTGAAATCAGCTTGTAGGATATATCCCCAAAACCATGAAAACTGTCTAAATCTCCGTGTCGATTTGACCGATGTTGAGAGTCAAATATGTAACGCCAAGGGTGCCTCGGAGAGCCTTCGAACGGCAATCGCAGATGCCAACTGTGCCCTTTTTGCACTGGAGCAATGATCAAGTGTAGTGAGGGAGAATTTGCCTCAGCAAAAGGATGACTGATCGGAGTCGAAAAAGATTTATCCAAAATAGACAATTGAAAAGACCAGCAGAGACCAGGGAGATCCAGTTCGTGCAAGATATGATAGATTTGTGGCGTCAAGAGGAAGAGCCAATAAGTGAATAAGAGGAGAAAATGACTTTGTATCAAAGTTCTTTATTTTTACCCTTAAAAAGAAGGTATACACAATTAAATCTCCATGAGGACAGCGGAGGAATTGGGCTTTTGTAGGCTTTGTCGTTTTACAGCCAGATTGTAAGCGTTTTCGACGAGTGCTCGCAACCATGGCTCATGTTTCGATTCAATTGACCCGAGAAAATTGGTAATTGGCGGGAAAATGGTCTCCACGGACCCTCCTAAAAGTTATACCTCTCATCAGTTTTTCATTCAAGACCTATGTGAGTTTTTAACTGCCTTAGCAAGAAGACCTCAAATTATCAAAATTCTAAGCAGAAGCAGTGACAAGCACCACAACCATGGTTGAAGTAGTAGAGAATATTGACAATAACGAAGACGATGAGGTACTAACAAGTGTTGACTTAAGTCAGTGACTATGTTTATTTATATAAAATACCTTCCTGCAAGGAACTACAATAGTGTATGGAAGATAGAAGCTTCAACGTAAACCAGTCTTGGAGATTTTGAGCACGAATGACAAATTTGACTAGGAAAAGAATGGGTGTGGACGGAGCCAATGACGCCGTTCTCTCTGCCTACAGTGTACGGCATTTTCAGCCGCAATAACTCAGCCGTCACAAAGTTTGCGTAGGTATGATAGTGCGCATTACGAAAGCAAGTACGGTATCGGAGGAGTGAAGCACATCTACGATTCTTAGGGTATGACGTGCTCGTGTCGCCTGACGAAAGTGGGCAACCTCGGAGGTGCCGAAAGAATGCTATCCAGTTTCAAATGCAATGGCAGCAAAGACTATTTGAAATACCAACAATGCTACTGCTCCAATTACATAACAAGGTAAAGAATTCCAACATTTATGAGTGTTATATCCTGTCGCAGCTTACCAGCTCGCAGACAGTGATCAAGCAGAGCATAAAAGAAGCTATTCTCACACGCCTCATTGAAGTCTCCATCATCATTCGGCTTCTTCCATCTGAAATGGGAATGAAAAAGTATAGCAAGAAAAATGGGCGATGAAAGGGGGAAGTAAAACCTACGCATCCACTTTTACTGCCTGCGCCCAGATTTCTTGGAACAGTAATTGATGCTGCATTTCGACTGAGTCAACTTCCGCAGCCTCCGTTTCATCCAACTCTAATGCCAATTGAGCCAATCGAAGTGCGGTAGAGAAAGTGACGAGAAGGTCTTCTCTTGTCAACTTCTGGGACGACGACTCAATCTCCGAAACAAAGAGCTGAGCTAGTGCAGCAGCGGAGCAGACAGCGAGGTCAGCGTCTTGATGTGGCGACTTCCGTCGCATCAACTCCTCCTAGTAAAAGACAACGTTGGTAACGTGGCGTTCAAATAATGCTTATCGACTATTCAGCGTTTTTACACTTTAGTACTAAGCTTGCTATGTGAAAATGCGCGGTTCGGAAAGTAAGACTTGCCTGGAAACGAAGAACCTCAAGGTGCTTGTCAACGAGCTCGTTGTCGTTTTTGGTAGATCTACAGTGACTGGCAGCAATGGATGAGAGCTTGGAGAGGCTAAGAAGGGTACGTCTACGGTCAAGGGAGTTGGTCTCGCTTAGTCCTGCAGCAAGAAGACCCTTGGATGCCTGAAAATAGGAGTGAGAATGACCACTGAATAACAAATCATCAATAATGCCATACAGTTTGGCGAAATTCATATGAATAAAAAAGCACCCATTTTTCTATCCGGTAAAAACAGAGAGGATCTTTTGGATTTTGACCTGCTCATAATCCCGATTGCCAAGCTGATGTAGCCAAGCGAAATCCTTTGCCTCCTTCCGCCGTAAAAAACGACTAACACACGTCTCAGCTGTCTGCCGTGCCCGTTTTACAGACGATGCATCGGGAACGCCTCTGGGTGATGAGGTTAGGCGCTTTTGTTGTACCTCTATCGCGTCCATTGTTCCTCCAGGCGACACCTCTGTCTCTCGCTTTTGCAGCATTACGAGCAGCGATTGGAGGCGTGCCTTTTCGCCATGTGAGTAGTGCCACTGCCAAGAGCAATTGGAGAAATGAAAATATTCTAGGGCGTTAACCAAGGAAAAACAAAAGTAGGAACCTACCTGGAGAGCATAATCAGCTAAACCAATGTCCTTCGGGCATCGAGAGAGTGCGTTCATAAGACTAGTATGCCACTTTCCATCAGGGGCGTGTTTGTCGAGGTGATCAGAGATCTTGACCATAAGCTCCTTGTCGAGAAAACGAATAGCTAGGTCCAAAGCTGCTTCAGGACGACTTATGCGCCAAGCTTAAGGTAAGAAGAAAAGGAACAACGAAATCGTTGCAATTAAACTAGTGGTATGAAGTAGAGAAGCAGTAGAGCAGGCAACTGTCAGCGCACCCACAGCGGAGATGAGCCGCGTCCTCAACTCTGTAAACCGTGTATCCAGGTCAACCGAGTGCTTGGGCCATCGAACAAGCTGTTGAAAGATTTGGAGGAGAATGGTGGCCAACTCCACGCTACGACAAGCGCATTCCTGCTTTAGCGATCCACCGTCTGCCAACATACGATCGGTGTCACCGGATAGAGTGACAACCACCTCAGCTAAAGCGTCAAACTATAAAAAAGTAAGCTCACGGGAGTCAAGGCAATAAAGAGACTTTGCAGACAAGTAACTATGCTGTCGGTGTATTTCTTTCAAATAATAAAGTATAGAGACAGAGGTAAAAAAAGAGAAATGGACAGTCAGACATGGGAAGGAGACTAACATTACAGACACAAGACAGACAGGTACTGTACTTACGGCGTCAAGAAGTTGATTGCATAGCACATCGCTGGCCGTAAGCCAACAAAAGAAGTCGCATTCCAAGGCACTATTGGTACCATTACCAGAAGATTCCTCAGAAAGAACAGATTCAAGAGCAAATAAAAGCTTCTGTCTGTAGTCGAGGGATTCAGAGAGACTAGTCTGAAAAAAGCAAAACTTCGGTTTTTTAACTGAATAGTTAACACTAATTCATCAGAAGGAATTCATATTTTAAGTTTTTTTTTTGTTAAAGGAACCCTCGAATTCCAAACTGCCAGATACGCCTTCTTTCCGCAAACTCAGCCCTGATCGGGTAAAGCCCGTCACTCACCGTTAGTAGTTGGGCACCACGGGCCACAAAATCAACAGGGTCGATAGGATCAGTCAGGCAATTCTTGGCGTTTGTCACAATGTGCTCGGCCAAGGTGGCAATAAACTGGGGAACCAGGGTTACCTACAACGACGAGAAGTGAGGATAAGGGTTTAACTTAAAGGCATAAACCTCTGTTGTTTCCCAAATTAACGAAAAAAAAATGATCTATCGATTCAGACCACAAGAAGGTGCGACCGAAACGTTTTGAACTTGGTATTTGCTTCATTTAAATGAGTCATGATGATGGTCGTCTGGGCATAAGGGCGTTTTTGTTGGAGCCATTCCTAGATCTGTGGGTTTTAATGGTAGACGAGGCGGTGAGGAACAGTTGGGCAGTGATTAACACGGAATGCCAAAATTTTTGCGGTCAAAATGATAGGAACCATGCTTCAATGCAACCCATAACCAGTGAATGAATAACTAGAAAGCCACTCAGAAAATAGACACAGGAGAGAACAATTGATCTTAACTTACAGTTTGGAAAAAAATATCCTCTGAGGAGAGAAGATTGTGAACATCTCCTCCACGAATCACACCTGCCAGCGTAGCCGCTTCCACTGTAGACTTAAAGACAGGATGCAGAAGAGAATTCTGCTTTAATCTAGAATCAGAAAAGTGAGCAAATACAGACATACTGTCATTAGACTTAATTAATAGTTTTACTAAAGTTGGACTCATTAATGGTGTGAGAAGTCTCGGGAAGAGTAGGGCAATTGAGACCTGCTAAACAACTTGACCTACCGACTCCATCGGGTGTGAAGAACACGTGCACATTCACAGACCTCAGCGCCAGCCAGAAAAGCATTGAGTATGTGATGCCGACGCTGGTGGAATGGGCTCGCCTCCTCGCTGGTGAGGAGGGGAGGGAAAATCTCCGTCAACAAAGTCAAGGCATCAGTTAGTTTACTGCAACCACTACCATCGGAGGTCAAGGTAGCCAGCACTCTGGGCCACAGACTCATACCTAGACACTCTATGGCCTGTTGTTTGGCTATGAACCGCGAGTCCCCAGTGCGAGCAAAGTCGAAGCTCAGAGCATTATTACTAGACATGCCACGCCAGCGAGCATCGGGTCCGCTGATTGGGCGGCAATTGAGGACAAGACGTATCAGACGTAGGAATGCAATGGGAGTGGCGGATGTAAGTTGATTCCGATGAGGTGCGGCGAATAGGGAAGTGATTAAGCTCTCAGCTTCATCCTCAAATCCCATCCAAAGAATCGCAGCAATTCTTGAGAGTGCTTCCAATAGTTGATCAGGCTCAACACCAAGTGAGGTGACTCTGAGAGATAGGAAAAAGCAGCATTAGCTACAGAATTTGCAACGTGGAGATTCAACTGGAAACATTACTTAGTGAGTTGGTCGATGAATGGACGAGGATTGAGGGTGGATAGACAAGGGTCTTCACCGACAATGGCATAAACACCACGCTGGCGTGTTACAAGGAGGAAGAGCGCAGTACTATCTGGAGGAGCACTGATTACTCCTAGTAAAGATGAGGTCTGCTCGAATTCTACCTGGCTTATGCAGCGTCCCGTCAGAGCTAGGAGAGAGGGAGTAGTTTTAATGTACGCCTGTATGATTGCTAAAAAATTCATTTAATCTTGGTGCATTCACTCAACTTCATCCACTACTCACCAAAATACCTATTCAATTGTCAATCATTCCCCTTAATCAACCACAAAGTCATTAAGCTTCTCATCCATCCAAACATCTAGCTTTCCTCCCGACTCTTAATTCCTTTATTGGATCTTCAATTTTACCACTTACCCACTCGTCAAATGACAGCTTGACCTACCAGCCCATTCACTAACTAACTTGGGGATGACTAATCTCACCTTCCACAATGTGAACTGTTCCAGCATCCCGTGCGAACAAAGCCAGGAGAGTGGATGGGTACGCATTTAAGCCAGAAAGCGAGGCAATCATCTGAAAGTCGGGAGTCTCAGTTTCCACAGAGAATGAAGTCAGTGCAATCGGTTCCTCACCCTTCGCCGCTTTCTTGACATCTATTGAGAGGAGACAGAGAGTCTCTTTCTCAGAAGACGAAGTACAGAGGAGCCAAAGTACAGGAGACGAGAGAGAACAGGCGGCAACATCTAGGGCCTCACCATATCTAGCGTTGTTGAGGTCTAGGTTAAAGAGAAGCTGCAGGAGGGAGAGCAGAATATTAAAATGACGATTTTGAAGAGAGAATAGCGAGTAATGGACCTACTGAGTGCTCGAAATCGACATCAACGAGCCAAATAGCGATACGAGCCTGTGTGAGAAGGGTCATTCGACAAGAATTCTGTGACTCGACGTCCACAAGGAAGCGAAGAACTTTCTACAGATATGAAACGGTTATTTTAAACGTAGAATTTCAACAATGCTCAAAATCTGCGTCTTGAAACATTTCTGCCTGGATAAATAAGATCACCACTAATGAACTGAGAAGCCTACTCATCAAATAAAGAATCACAAACGTTACTCGATCTACAGAGCAAAAAAGCAATTATAAAGACTCTGGAATTACATTCAAAACAAACTGGAGCGGTCAATTTCACGAGATTTGGAAAAGTAGTAAGTTATGTGACTACTTTTTCAACATGTTGACAACAAAATTGTTTTCCAGGCCAGTGTGTTATACAATATCATCAGGACTTCAAACAAGGTGAAAGATTTGCCCTAAGAAAATATGATTCAATAGGCAAGCGTAAGAAGCAAATGAAACTCACTCCAGTAGAAGAGGTAGCAGGAGAGGCATTTGTACCAGTGACACTGAGAGAAGGAACCCTGCTTGTGGCATAGGACCAAATGGAGGCGACTCGACGACTCAGCCCCGAGAGAAGACTAATGTCACTCTCTTCTGCGCCGGCTCGACCTGAGCTCATCGAAGCATCCGCAGTGGTGCCGATAGTGTTGCTATCGACGACAAGGAAGACAAAAACACAGTCCTCTGGCATCCTTGCATCCACGCCGAAAATGCGACCATGATTAGTGGCCAAAAGGAAGGTGGCAGACTGAGAGGAAAAATGGTTGTAAAATTTTAAATTTTAAAAGTTTTTGCACAATGAAGTTGAAAGTGATCCAAACCAATAGCTATGAATAATAAGAGGAAAAATTGTTCGAAGGCAATGAAATTTTACAAGTAAGTAAGAGTTAAAAGAAAAGATTGACCGCACATAAAAGTAAAAATGATCAAATATCTGAGTTCATGAGGATGGGAAACGACAACAAGGGGTGAAAGGCAAAGTATTTGGAGTTTAGCAGGAAGCAATCAAGTGGTTATTCCACCAGTAAAACAACACAAGAGCAACCGTACCAAGGTATCAAGCAAGCATCATGTAAGAATAGACTTGACGGATTTAAAAAAGAAAATAGAGTAGTCTGGTTTACCTTCCAGGTAGCGGAAAATAACCAATACAAGATTCAAAGTTTACCGAAAAAAAAACTAGAATAAATCCATACATAAAAATGGGACAGTGGTGCTTACACAGGGACCCTCTTCCAGCGCCACACATAATTCGCCAGCCTTCAGACCACTCAGCTGAGTGTCAAGAAAGTCGCGCAATACCTGCGACCGTCCTACAGCTCCAAGGACGCCACGCGGCCAAATACGAAGGACACCAGCCACGGCAGCCGCACAGAGACGGGGCCGCCCGTGGCCTTCAAAGCAAGAAACTGAAACCGACGCTGCTGACGTCAATGTCTCTGACATCGAGGGTAGTTCAAATTGGTGGCAGGCCGAAGACGTGGCTATCTGGTCAATGGAATAAAATGTAGAAAATAAAGCACTTCATCGACTTTAAAGGATATCGGAGATATTACAAATTGAATAGATTCAATTCATTTTAGTGGTTGGAATGGATCAATGTCGCACGGCTTCCAAGTATCACTTTTCCAAATGATTGTGTTTTCGATACCAAAGGTTAACGGTGGGATAAGCCAGAATTACCCTGGTTTCCTTCGACTGTGTATAGCGCCAAAGAAAAAGATTATCACCCGTCACAATTCCGATCCAGTCATGGGCGAAGAGCTTCACACTAGCATCTAAAGAAATAAAAACAAGAATCAAAAGCTTTGAGAAGTACACAAGTGTGCTTAAAAATACTGCCATTAACAACCTACCTGCACCAGAAGAGAGTAGAGAACCAGTGAGAAATGTAGGGAGTGTTGCAACCAAATTTTGAATATTTAATAAGGCCCGTGGATCTGAAGAGTATGTAAACGTTCCTCCACGATTTGATGTGAAGGATGACTCCATGAACATCTGCATGAAAGTAAACATCAAGAACACTTTAATGCAAACCGAAAACAAAGTGAATTTCGTTCGATCAGAAGGACAAAGAACAAAATTTGCTACAAATACATGGCGTTCAGCGAAGTAAACCCAAACTAAAGACAAACATCAATATTATCGCGTGAAGAAGACGACAAAGTGATAGGAAACAACGAACAAACACACTGCACCCGCTAGTCACCGAGAGGTTTGGAGACGAAAACCAAGAAGTGAGAAATAACACACATTGAACAATAGCCAAGCCGATTAAGTCAACGTGACGACAGTAATTATCCAATGAAAGGGCAACTTATACAAGTAGCAGGTATTAATGTTAGGGCTATAAAACAGAAAGTAAAGTATTAACACGTTTTGACAGCATTAGTGAACTTCGTTAATAAATAACGAGTTGAAGGGTTTTATTGATTGGCGAAGGTATTGCAAGTCCCAGATGTATCAAGGGATCTAGCACTGCTATATATTCTAAGCATATTTTTTTTACATAAAATTGTACTGCTGGCGTAAAACTTAGCCAAAACGGAAAAGGGATCCATTTCAGATTGGTGAAAAGAAAGGCATTCACTGACCTTGACATTTTGAAGGTTAGCTCGCTCCGTCTTTCGGGGTGTTTGCGACCATGCCATGAATGATTCTGAGAGGGAGAACCTCCTTCTTCAAAAATCGGAGTTGGTCCTAATTCAGGCCTCATACCCAGACTTACTGCTATCAGTTGAAGGTCTACCAAACCTAGTATGGGCTCTTCTAATTTGTCTTACAAGCTTCTAGAAACCATTTGAGAATGAAGACGATGTTCCGGATTCTGTTTTTCCTTTAAGGCTTGCATTTCATTTAAACGCACCGGTGAATGGAGAGCTCAATGAAGTCAATATGCCTCTTCCGTCTCCTGAGTTAGATTTATTGATTACTTGTAGCACAAATTACCCAAAAGTGTAAGTTCTTTGCATCTGTTTTGCAAATCTTGTTTGCCATTAGTTCATTTTTCGTTTGCTCATCTCTTTAGCTTTTAAGATTCTATACTTGATCAATTTGGTTTCCTTAAGATACCTCATTTTAAACTAACGCTGCGATGGTATCTGCTAGTCCTTCAAGTAAGGCTCGATGACCGTGCCCACCAGCAATTTGCTATTTTTAAGCCCTCTATGTCCAAACTGATCATAGATAATTTGGACTTCTCAAGTGTTTCTGCTCTCACTGCATAGCGGTCCTGATGTTGCAATTAAGAATGCGCAGGATATAAGTGTGCGAAGACAAAACCATCTTTTAGAATGTCTCAAGACCATGGCAGGAGAAAATCTGATAACCGTGAGTTTCATTGTGTCAGTTTGTTTTCGACTGCACTGATTTCGCCTTCATTACTAACGAATTTCTTATTGTTCTTCTTATTGTTTACGTCAAAGCCATTACATTTTTTCAATTTTAACTTTTGATTCTGATTTGCTTAAAATTTACTTGTTATAGCACTCCATTTTTTCACTGATCTCATTTGTGCGAGATTGTCTTGCCGATATTCGCGAGCGGGTGCCGAAAAAACGCCTTGCTGAGCTAGAGGCGGCTATCGCTAAGGAAGAAAAGGAGATGAGACTCGAGGTATAGTTTCCTCTTTATTAATGCTCTTTTTTCTCATTATCTTAGTCAAAACGTATCAGGTCTGCGCTAGCACATAGAAGGTCTCTTCTGCAGGTAAGCTGATTCGGACAATAATCCTCTTTTAACCTCCACTTTTCCACCCTCTGTCTTTATTCATGTTTAGATGGCTTGCTCTTTGGATTCTGCGGAGATTACTGTATCGGGGAGGTAAATGCAGTTGCTTTGTAAAATCACCTTTTAGCGAAAACTGCCACAGTACCAGCTGTGCTTCTCTCCTTCCTTCCTGTCCACTTGCATGTCACACAGGCGTGCAGCGCCTAATCTTTCCCCAACCTCGCACCGCCTCTTCGCCATCTCGTCCGCTGGCATCCGTGCCCGAAGAACTGACTACAGCCGTATCGCGCCGTAAAACGCGTCCCACAGTACCGCCTCCGCTGCGTATCCTGCGTGGTCAGTGTGTTGATGGACCACATCAATCCTCGTGAGTAGTTGAATATACGACCTTAGGTCTCCATCAGACTAATCGCAATTTTACAAGACGAACTTATGCAGCACAGGAATGCGTTGGATATATACATATATATATTCAACTACATATCGCCAGGTAAGAGAAAAACTAGGAAGATATTTTTGAGTAAACTTCCAATGAGCTAAATAGTAAAGAGTATATTTTACTAGTAGTTAAAAAAGTTGAATGGTGCGATCGTCATTGGCAGTGTCTCTGCCAATTGTCTCAGGAAGGCACGACTGTTGAGTAAAGCAATGCCCCGTTCTTTGTCCAATTTTATCGCTATGATCACTACAACAAGGTATTACATTCCTTCTGATCCCTGTACTTAGCGTCTTTGAAATGAATAGCGAGGCTTGTTTGATTGATCAGGTCGAAATTTGGCTTTATTTATCGCGTTCAATGCGTTGCAGCACACACGGTCACAAGACGAGGTCATTCCATGGAACTCTTGTGACCTATTTGAAACAGATCGAGTTGCTTAAGTGTATCAGCCGTTTGGGATTTTAAAGTGGCTCATCGCCTTTGCGACGTTAGAGGCATCATTGACAGATGGGTGAGCTTCAGTGGGGCAAAGTGCTCTCCACTGCTTATTGACTTGATTCATGCAACCAGGCCCTGGTCTCTTTGGTTCGTTTTAGTCCGTTTGATGCGGTAAAAATTGTAACTATAGATTTTACGCCTCATGTTTGCACACTACATTTAATGTAGTTCAAATTTTCTTCCACGATTGGGAATTTTAGTGTGGAATCACGCGCCGGGGAAGAACTTTCCCTTTCACACATGCGTCAACACCAAAGGTTTTGGCACAGATACGTTGAGGAGCGGTCAGCTGCGGGGAGGGCAAATTCTCGCCCACGTCTGAAAAGACGACCGACATATTAAAAGCCCAAATCTTATTCGCTTTCACAAGCTAGCTGTCACAAGGACATAAAATTTTAAGCTTATAAAAATGGTATAGCCTCTTCACCCCTTGAATTTGGAGATGCTTTTCTTCGCAAGAGTATCAAAAAACCCTGTCAGCAGAAATCTCTTCCCTATGGGTCTGGAGTTCGTGTTTAGGTCACCTTTAAGCATGTAGACTAATCGCTGTGAAATGTGGGATCATTGTCAACTTCCGATACCCCATACCGCTTAAGAGACCCCGCTGTTTACTAGGTTAATATTAGCACCCAACGCATTCACAGCAACATTCCCACCAATTTTTATTAAATGTATTCGCAGTCTTCCTACGACATCGAGTCCACGATTTGCCTATCGGGCCAAATTCTTCGCCTTCAATGAGGACACTGGAGACGAACTTCAGCTGCGCGAGTGGGTATTTAAGGCTCATTCGCCAATGTCGCAGCTTTATAGCTTGCGATTTCTACTGATCTCGCGGTTCAAGCACCTCATACGCACCTCTCTCCCACCCTTCCTTTTGCCTTTGCGTGGATTCTCCTTCGACGTGGAACAGGGTATGGTGCTGTCCTAATTTTTATCCTTGGCTCTTGAACCGCGTCAAGTATCTGAAAGTGATACACCCTTTTAAAGCAGCCACACTCACTACTTGCGTGCATGTGATTCTAAGATATTTCAGGGCTTGTTTTTAACAGCATTTTCTTATGTGAGGGCCTTGCCAGAATAATTATGACAAGTGGGTGGCACTTCGTTGTTGTTTGGAGATCGATTGAATTCCGCTTATTTCCTCCGCACTGGATACCAAAGCTAATCATGCACTCATGATCTTCGACCTACTCTTTTCTCTCTTCCAATTTCTACAGTAAATATCATTTCCAATGCTAGATTTCGTGATCTGAATGTCCCCGTCCAAAATTAATGGGTGTGAGTTTGATGACGATGAAATGCAGTTAGTTTATGGGCTGTCTAAACAGAGGTAGAATGGCGCTGAGACACGTCTGACCTCTGACCTCTGACTCATTTCTTACTCACCAATCCCAAGTTGACTATCGTATCCAGCGTCCCGGTATGGACGTTAACATCATGGCCTGCGGCAAATTTTTCCAATTTTTTTGATCCAGAGTAGAGCAGAGGGTGCTCATACTTATCGTGTCAAGGTCATGCTCAATTATGTAATGTTAAATGATTATGAACCTTTTAATGCGTTTTTAAGTCCGTTTGTTACGCAAGAAAATGCAGAGTTCTGCTTTCGCCAAATACGTGTGCTATTTAAACATGTGTAATCCTTCCTAAAAGGAAATTATCCTCGACACATCCTACTTTGATGGAACTGAGACCTTTTCATTGTCTTGGTGATTTTTGTGAAAATAAACTTCCAATGTTACGGTTTAGTCCTAGTATTTTTCTCTTTGGCCTCTCCCTATGTGTAAACTTGGTGAGGGCAAGCTCCATTGAGTGGGGGTAATAAGGGGTATTAGAGTTACCATTGGTTCCCTCCATAGTTAGGATTTGTAGCGTCGGGCCCATCGCGAAAGTCAGCCCAGCTATCCGCATCGTGCCTGAGTGATACTTTTAAACACACTTGACTTAAGCTGCTCTTTTCTAAGGTAACCGAAGGATCTTCCTAAATTGATTGTGAATTCCCAAGTTTGTACTTGTTACTTTGCTACGCTAACCTACTTACTTCCTCTGGTTGGTAAACTCTAGACTTGAGTTATTGGTGCGGCTCCCCTAAACCTCCGTAAAGGCCCGAGAAGACGTAGTAAATAGACAGAAAATGTATTTCTGGTGAAAGAAATGACTTCAAAGCACTGACATGGCCTGAATGTGCAAAGATGGAGGAGCTAAGCGGTCCCTCACTAAAAGCAAACGTTAAAGGAAGCGAGTACCATTATCACAATTGCGGCCCAAATAGGTGACTTTACTTGCGTTGGAGTTTTGGTACTGAGCTCATGCATTACTATTATCAAAGGTGTATCTAGATGCTCAGAGGATCTACACAAGCTTCTTGATCGCCTTAAAAAAACTCTCTGGTGGAATCAAAATGGCATCATTTCCAAGCTCAGTGGGTATTTATTGTGGCGTTCTCTGGAGCACTCAGTTTGAGAATGTCTTAAATGCAACTTGATCTTTAATTCTATTATTACAGGTAACGGGAAGTGGTGCGCATTCTTCCCCAGTTGTGCTTACTTAAGCTTTGTCCCCGTCTTGGCTAACTTGAGCCCATAACAAATAACCGTTTGTATGACTCGTGTTAGCCTTTCGTTGCCCTGGCAAAGCACTTCTCACTGTCATTGTCAAAAAGCTACGGTCTAGATCATTGCAAACGCGAAGCCAGCTTCATCTAGTAGGTGTCTAGTATGCCCGAAGTAATGCGATAAATCGAATTCCACGTTCCCCACCATCCATTGCTTCCACCAATGGTCGCGAGTGGGAGAAGACGACAACCAAAAAGCACTACACTCCACCCCCCAAATCCCAAACATCCTCTGTCTACACATCTTTCAAACCTAAAAAACGCTACCCTTACCTTCAGCCTCTGCGACAGATGCACTTCACTCTCGAACCAACCCTGTTCTCGTACCTTTCTAGTGGTGTCTTGGAAGGTGGTGGTAGGTTCATTCGCGTAGCCAACACTTGGGCACAACAGTGAGACCGTCCTTCCATCCCACCTCG